CCGTGTCAGCACACAGAGAGCTGCCTCATTCCTTTTACAGCTTCATGCTAGTCTACCGCATAGCTATCTGATACTGTATTACCAGCCCTATGTGGGGGGAAAAACTTTACTGAGAAATAATTCGTATACCATAAAGTCAACCTATTGAAAGTTTTTTGTATATTCATCAGAGTTGTACAATCATCACTGTGGTCAATCTTAGAACATTGTCGTCACACCCCCTAAAACCCTGTACCATTAGCAAGGACTCCACATTTCCCCCTAACTTCCACGGCCCAAGGAAACCACCAATCCATTTTCTGTCTCTACAGATATGCCTATTCTGGACATTGGTATAAACAGAATTATACAATATAAGAACCACATATAAATAGAATTTATACAATATGTGGCTCTTATACTCAGCACAATATTTTCAAGGCCTATCCATGTTTCAGTATGTTTCAGTACATAATTCTTTTTATTGCCAAATAATATCCCATTGTATGGATAAGCCACATTTTGTTTATCCATTCGGCAGTTGATGAACATTTGGGTTATTTCCACTTTTTGGCTGTTATGAGTAATGCTGCTATGCATATTCAAATTCTTACTGGATGCATGTTTTCATTTCTCTCGGGTATATACCTAGGAGTTGAATTTCTAAATGTGAGGGTTCCAATTTCTTCACATCTGTCTTCTTTATTATAGCATCCTAGTGGGTGTGAACTGATATCTCATTGTGGTTTTGATTTGTATTTTTCTGATCAGTCACATATTTTTAAGCTTTTTAAACTGAAGTATTACTTATAAGATTATATACACTAAAGTGCATCAGTCTGAAGTGTGTATCTCAAAGAACCTTTGCATGTATGTACATCTGTGTAACCACCATACAGATCTAGACCTAAGCCCTTTCCAGGGTCCCATTAATGTTACTCATGACCACTCCCAGGCTACTGTCCCCCACAGGTAACCAGCTTTCTGATTATATTACCACAGACTGATTTGCCTGGTTTGCATTTCATATAAATGAAATCATACAATATGTATTCTTTTATGTGTTAACCTGTTCCTATTGGTGGATATTTAGATAATTTCCAACCGTTTTCTATTACAAATAGTGCCAGTCTTTTTAGACATGGGCAGATGTATAGTTAGATTTCTATGTATAGCGGGATCTCTAAGTCAAAGGGTAAACGCACATGTATCTCGCTAGTATTGCCTGGCTCCCTTGTTAAGGGTTGTGCCATTTTGCATGCCCGCCTGAAACATATGAGAGTGTTGATTTCTCTGCATTTTTGCCAACCTGATAGGTTCAAGTATAAATTTAATTTGTATTTCTCTCCTAATTATTAGAGGTTGAACATCTTCCCATTTTGAAAGTTATTTCTATTTCTCTCCTTGCGAGCCAGCTTTTCATGTCTTTTGCCCTTTCTTCTGTTGAGTTGATGGTCTTCCCTGCCTCCTCAGTTTCTAGAAGAAACAAATATACTAGTCAGATGAGCCTTATGTCTGAGATGTAAATTGAGAATATTTTCCCCAGTTTACCATTTGTGTTTGGACTTTGTGGTACTTTTGTTGTTGCTGTCATGCAGAAGTTTGTTTTTTTTAATGTAATAAAATTTATTAATCTTTCATTGCATGATTTCTAGATTTTTGAGTTATAATTAGAAAGGACTTCCATGCCTGGAGGCTCCATAAATTCACCCATATTTCCTCTAGTGCATTTATGGTTTCATATTTTCATAATTTTTATTTAAATCTTTGATCAATGTAGATTTTATTCTGGTTCATGATGTGACATATGGATGCAACTTTATTTTTTCCAAATGGCCATCCAGTTGCTTCAACACTATTTATAAAAAAGTTATTCATTTTTGTTCTTATATTTTTCTCAATGAAACTCATTTAATTTGCAATTTCTTTGGGAAATTTTATTCTGAGGTCTATAGAAAGAGATTTGTGTGTCCCATATGGTGGAAGGCAGGTTCATAAGTTCACAGTAAAGTTGAGCCTTGGTAGGAATTTACCAATCATAAAAGACATGTGATTTTAGCTACATTTGACCCCCATTCTGAGTTATAGAATTTTTAAAGATGTCTTCAGTTCCTGTTTTATATTATCTAAATATCTTTCACATTGCAGTCCATAATGGAACAAGGGCAAAGTGTATTTTGTTTTTGACAAATTGATAATGCCCTAAAGCAAAAGGCATTTTGGAGATATTAATCCTTATTCAAATGATTTTATTATATATTTTATATGTCCTATATATATATTTAAACTTTTTGAGATAATTATGGATTCATGAGCATTCGTAAGAAGTGATGCAGAGATCCCATATGCCCTGCATGCAGTTTTCCCAGTGATGACATCTTGCATAACTCTATAGGTTTCTGAAAGGCAGAATTAAACGATGGTTAGAGAACAGACTTTGGCACTAGAATACCTTGTTCTAATACCCACTCATCACCATATTATTTTGGGCAAATTAATTTATCCCTATCTCAATAATTTTCTCATATAAATAAAATGAGGATAATAAAGTTATATAATTTTTAAGCTTGTGGTAAGAGTAGTTATAGGAATGTGTAGAGAGAGTTTACTGGAGAGGGTTACCTGATGAGAGTTGTGCCTACCAGGCAATACTACAGAAAGGAAACTAAGGAAATAAATACGGTTAACCCTTGAACAACATGGGTTTGAACTATCAGGGTCCACTTAAATGCAGATTTTTTTTCTAATAAATATTGTAAATGTATTTTCTCTTTCTTATTATTTCCTTAATAAAATTTTTTTCCTTTGGTTAACTTCATTTTAAAAATACAGTATATAATATATATATAACATACAAAATATGTTAATCAACTGTTTATGTTATCGGTAAGGTTCCCAGTCAACAGCAGGCTATTATTAGTTAAGTTTTGGGAGAGTCAATAGTTATATGCAGATTTTTAACTGTGCTGGGTGGGGGTTGGGTGCCTCTAATCCCTGTATTATTCAAGGGTCAGTTGTATCCTTATTTCACTTTCTTCGATCATTCTGATTTCCTGTGGATGCTTTTCATTGACTGAATCCAGCTGGAAGCCAGAGCATAAGGAAACTGTTGATACATTCTGTATTGATCAGCCTCCCAGAGCACAAAGCAGGATGGAAAAAGAAAGAGAATAAATTTGAAGAAGAAACCAAAAGATATTCAGCGCACGAGTGAATGCTGGTTAGAGTTCAGCTACACACTATGACAACTTTTCTTTCATATGTAGCTTTTTGGTTTTCTCTAAAGTTAATAATGTGTTTTTCTTTTATCAGTAGCTTAATTTTATTTGTCTAGAGTTATCTGCCAGTTTGCTAAATCACCTCTTAAGACATTCGGATGTATGAGGTATTCTATTAATTATGTCTCTCTCCCAGAGCTTTCTGACCCAGTCCAATCTGAACTGGTTGCCCTTTTTATCTGACAACCCACAGTAATCTTGGGATCACACTTTGTCACCATTCTGGGGAATTCCTTCACCTCTCTTCTGTGTGGAATCTCACATTTCTTTATCTCATGTTGATTTCTTTCTTGCTTTATGCTTGTATTTGAGGAAACTTATTTTTGAGTAGCTTTTTGAAAAAGAAAAATTGGAAAGAATAATTTGGAAACCTCGAATATCAGAAAATGTCTTTATACTATCATCACATTTAAGTTATAGTGTGGGTGGGTGTAAAATTTAAGTTTTTCTTTTT